ATAATAGGAAATTCGAAAGATAGTAGATATTCATGGGTTAGTAGGATATTCGTAGGATAGTAGGATAATCGTAGGATTGTTGGATAATCGTAGGATAGTTGGATATTCGTAAGGTAGCAGGATATCCATGGGATAGTAGGATAATCGTAGGGTAGTAGAGTATTCGTAGGATAGTAAGATATAAGTAGGATAGTAGGATAAGTACATTAGCTGAGTTCAGTAATTCAAACTCATTGTATAACCAGTTGCACCGAATTGTTAGAGACACTGTCTTATCGATGTCAAGCTGGAGAGGTCACGCCTACTGAAGGACCTTATTCATTAGATATACTTACTTCTGCCGATATGTTTAAGGACATCTGTAATCTCAATAGATGAATTTCAAAATCCATGGGACGAGACCCATGCGTGCGTACCTATAATACGGCACGAGTCAAGGACGCCATCGAACGAAACCAAGGCTTAAAAGAATTCGCAAAAAAATATCATTATCATATCAGTATTATATACATTTTTTGTAATATAACACAGATCATCATGTCGTTCATATCGGAAATTCTGACAGTTCGAGAGGTTCTACGGACAGTTGTACACCTTAACTTGGCAACCCATTGTCGGTACAACTCGGGATCCGAGATCTAAACTACTAATAAATAAACGCAATGCTCAGCTACCTCAATACTGTTTTCCGACAGGATAACACGAAACTCATGTCTGCTGTCCATGTTGGTAATCCTTCATTCTGTTGCTCGGGGTCTCTTTGCAGGACAAAATACAAAATTTACCAAACAACCAAAGTTACCGACATATTTAGCTCGTAAAATCTGCAGGATGAAGTGGTCCATTGCCGTTGAAAGCGATGTCACTCAATGGACAGCGATGGTCGATGGGCCCGGAAAGACCTTGAGTGGTCCATCGCCAATGGATGCAAGTGGCGAATTGTCGTTAGACGTGGAGGGCTAAGGGCGAAAGCCTTTGATCGGAGTCGTTTAAACGTCTTCGTCAGATGCTGATAATGTTATACCAATCTTTTTTTTATTATAACTTTCGTGAGACATTCTATATTATTTATTATCTCTAGCATGGCTTAAAACTAGTCGAGTATCTCGTCAAATTATTACGTGAGTAAGCCGAAAACATAATAATTAATGATATACCTACCAAACATTGGATTTTTTATCTAATTGTAGTGGAACCTCCATTAAGGCTAAATATGTTCGACAAGTGTAAGCGAGTGCCCGAACGCGATTAAATGATCATATGTTTTTAAATAAAAACATCAATCTGGTACATGTAGTGCAGTCATTGAATGGCTCAAGTAACGCCATCTAGCAATCTAGAGATAGACCTTGCGGGTTTCCAAAAGCTGTCGATCAAAAGATGGCGTAAACAATAACTTCTACTACTCTACTCTACTACTACTCTCTTAACTCAAAAATTACAATACACTACAATTTATTTACAAATCTACAATTCCTTAATTGGCGATGGCAGGTGCTGCAGGTTTTTTTGAAAGCTCAGGTGTTGTAACTGCAGGCTCTGTTGTCTCCGTACTCTCCACAACTTCTGGCTCAGGTTCAGGCATAACCCTGGTCAATTTAGAAGGTTCTTTAGGTGGAGTCCAGTCAGGGATGATCTTATCATGGATGCGCCATGTTCCGTACAGATTAGACAGATGTTTCTCAAACACTATGTACTCTAAGACGTCTTTCGATAAGATCTGCCATGAAGAAGTCGACCGAATCTGTCATATACTGCTAGCTGTTGGCGTGTGTGGAAGCGGACCGTTACCTGAAACGATAGGTGAAAAATATAATACTACTCTTTGATGAACAGTTCAAATAATAAGTAAAAAGAAGAGATTATATTAATTCTAAAATATTTTTTAGACCCAAAAATTATTCTCTTTGCTAATGACATCAGTGCACCGCGCATGCACTACTCTTGGAGGCTCTAGTGACTCAATGAACTTCCACTTGATAGTTTTCGAATGAGAATTATGCCTGAATTCAGGATATGCCTTTTCCGTAACATAAATTCTCAGAGCCTTCTTATCATTGTTTGCAAGACTTTCATGAGCCTTGATATAGGTGTCTTGAGCTTGTAAAACAAATTCTTTTTGATCAAATTCTAATTTTTGGTAAAAACGCCAGGAAGGGTGATATTGAAATAAATGATTTAGATTTTATACAACTTACTTAATGATCTATTAAACTGAAATTATAAATTATTATTCTTAAATAATAAAACTTAATGAATAATAAAAAATATCAATTTGTCTTTGGGGAGGCTTATGTTCAGCAGTGGACGACATCAGGCTGATGATGAAGTTGATGATGATCTTTTATGTTTGGAATATTTTGATTTTATTTGTTTTTATTGTAAGACATCGATTATAACAATTTTGTTTCCTCTTGTGCAGGGTACGTCGAGTACAGTGGACGTGTCGTCCCCGTCGTCGGTGCTGGGCGGTCGCGAGGCGGTGGTGGAGGCGCGCTGCGTGGTGCGGCTGGAGGTGGGCGGGCGCGGCGTGGCCGTGCGCTGCGGCCCGGCGCGCCGCCTGCGCCACGTGCTGCGCCCCGTCCTCCCCAAGTACGCCGCTCCACACGCCGCGCGCGCCGTGCTCAGGGCCGGCCGTCTGCTGCATCCTGACACACTCATGCAGGTACACTACTTTATATACTGCACTATGCGTTCACACATATGTTTCTATTGTCTCCGAATTACCACGATTTAAAGTTTAACTGATCGACTGAACTGTTCTGCTCAGTACAAAGTATCGCTTAAAACTTGTCTCACAATTACGAGCACCGGTGTACCTCGAAATTAATCGAGCACTCCCGATATAACATCTTTTAGTTTGAATAAATATTATGAAACTAATTACACGATACTTATTTCAACTAATCATTTTCGTATTACATCTCCATAGAAAAATAACCTTTACGGACTAAAAACTAACTATAAAATTTTCTTCGTCAGGAACTAGACGGCGCTCGTCTCCAAATAGTGGAAGTATCAGAAAATGGCGAATACCGCGCTGCTACAGCGGAGTACGAGGTGGACGATGACGCAGACTCACTCAGCGACCTCGCCGTCAGGTTGCAGGACGACGCCATGAAGCAGCCCGATGAAGTGGTCAGTATTCAAATATAATCTATAGATATATAACCAAGGTGTCAAGGCTACTTATAATTTTAGAATTACCAAGAAACACCAGTAAAATTGTTATCAGTGGAATAGTGTATTAACAATATGTTTGTTGTCCTGACAGAGCGTGGGCACGGCGAGTGGCAGTAGTCGCGGCAGTAGCGGCGCCGGCCGCGTCCGCGCCGCCCTACGACCCGGGCCTCCGCTACACCATCACCCACCCGGTTCGTACTCCTTGATTACATTTTTCGTTTATGCACACATACAACTTTAATTAAGAATTAATTGCAATCATCTATCTATAAGCCTAGAACATAATTTATCAGTTTCAATAACCACGTTTCTTCTTTCCACAGATTTCCTAGAGAATCTCAGAGAGACGCAACGGCAGAGGCTACAGAGCAAGGGCTCGGTGTCTCCGCCGTCGTCCCCCGGTCCGCAGCCCCGCAGCCCAAAGCCGGCGCAGCGCGCGCCCCCTACCGTCGTCTGAGCGCACCACTCGCCGGTCTCGGCGCATGATCACCTCACACGACTTCTCCAAGTCACACTTGGGAAGCAAAGTAGCCGACCCACAGCTCACAAGACGGACGGAATCCGTCGAGAACTCAGTTTCTGACACAACTGAGACTAATGAGCCATGTCGGCCCCTGTCTGTTGACTCCATGTCAAGGTTGTCGAAATACTTCGAACACAACAAACATTCTGACATTACATATCTGTACTTTAGTAAGAAGCTTTACACGGATGAGAATGTTGAAGGAATTGTGTAAATATAGCCGTTAACGTGCTAATTAAAATAAATCTCATTATTTATTTAATGTACAAAGATTTTGCCATCGGATGATCCTAAAGACTTATAGCGTAGCAGCGATTTACATTGGAATATATTATAAGTTTATCTGAACAACTACTTATGAATGGCAATAAAGACATGATACTTAAAAAGCCGTAAAACCAAAGTATTTTTATATTGCAATGTAAACGCCTATACGAGCAAAGAACACGTAAATGTAGCTATAATAATGTACATTAACATTATTTGTATCTAAATACAATATTTGTATTAATTTTGGTGCCTTCCATAGTTATAAGACTGCACTAACCCATACGAATGAATGGGAACATTGTAAAATTACTCGTTCACACGCAAATGGATGAAACAGGAGAATTTCATTTTATATTAGTTCATTGTAAATATGTATATGTAAAGGATTTGTTAAAAAATATATTTTGTATAGATATTCATGGATTTGTATGAAAACAACTTTAGTCTGAATGAAATGAAACAATTTTTTAAATTCATGGTTAGTTCAAAATACGACTCTAAAATCTCGTATCTAGAATCTTGTAAAATATTTGTAATTTTGTAAAAACTTGAACCCAGTGATTTGTAAGAGAAATGGCAGTTATTTTATTTTTCATAAATAACATTTTATGTAGACTATAATCGGCAGTAGTTACTAAGACAAAAAATATTTAGCGCAAAACATTCTTTGAGTTGAATGTCCAAAGTTAGAGAATTTATATAATATTCAGCTAAAGTCAGCTAAATATTTCGTGTCTTGGTAACTTTGTTGGGTTCACAATCAGTTTCATATTCCTACTAACAGAAACGTTTGCCCAATAGTCAAGTAAATAATTTATTTAGATGAACGCGAATGTTTCGCAGAGAATAGATTTTATTGAAATAAAATTATTATTGATAAGATTTGTTGGTTTTATTTTAAGCCTTCGTTTGATTTGATCTGTTGTTCGTCTTTATCCGTTCTGCTGCTTCAAGAAATATTTTAGAAAAATAAAAAAGAGGTAAGAGCTAGATGTGTTCTTAAAGAGTTTAATAATAAAAGAATATGGTAAGTATGGTGGATAATAAGTCTATGTGTTAATCCAGAGTATTACCTATGTACTAGTACATAACAAATTTCAACTAAATCGGTCCATCCGTTTTTTCGTAAAAGCATAACATCTGTACATTGTAACAAACTTTCACGTTTATAACAATAAGTAGGATAATCGTAGGATAGTTGGATATTCGTAAGATAGCAGGATATTCATGGGGTAGTAGGATATTCGTAGGGTAGTATGGTATTCGTAGGATAGTAAGATATTAGTAGGATAGTAGGATATTCATGGGATAGTAGGATATTCGTAAGATAGTAGGATATTCATGGTATAGTAGAATATTCATGGTATAGTAGGATATTCGTAGGATAATAGGAAATTCGAAAGATAGTAGATATTCATGGGTTAGTAGGATATTCGTAGGATAGTAGGATAATCGTAGGATTGTTGGATAATCGTAGGATAGTTGGATATTCGTAAGGTAGCAGGATATCCATGGGATAGTAGGATAATCGTAGGGTAGTAGAGTATTCGTAGGATAGTAAGATATTAGTAGGATAGTAGGATAAGTACATTAGCTGAGTTCAGTAATTCAAACTCATTGTATAACCAGTTGCACCGAATTGTTAGAGACACTGTCTTATCGATGTCAAGCTGGAGAGGTCACGCCTACTGAAGGACCTTATTCATTAGATATACTTACTTCTGCCGATATGTTTAAGGACATCTGTAATCTCAATAGATGAATTTCAAAATCCATGGGACGAGACCCATGCGTGCGTACCTATAATACGGCACGAGTCAAGGACGCCATCGAACGAAACCAAGGCTTAAAAGAATTCGCAAAAAAATATCATTATCATATCAGTATTATATACATTTTTTGTAATATAACACAGATCATCATGTCGTTCATATCGGAAATTCTGAGAGTTCGAGAGGTTCTACGGACAGTTGTACACCTTAACTTGGCAACCCATTGTCGGTACAACTCGGGATCCGAGATCTAAACTACTAATAAATAAACGCAATGCTCAGCTACCTCAATACTGTTTTCCGACAGGATAACACGAAACTCATGTCTGCTGTCCATGTTGGTAATCCTTCATTCTGTTGCTCGGGGTCTCTTTGCAGGACAAAATACAAAATTTACCAAACAACCAAAGTTACCGACATATTTAGCTCGTAAAATCTGCAGGATGAAGTGGTCCATTGCCGTTGAAAGCGATGTCACTCAATGGACAGCGATGGTCGATGGGCCCGGAAAGACCTTGAGTGGTCCATCGCCAATGGATGCAAGTGGCGAATTGTCGTTAGACATGGAGAGCTAAGGGCGAAAGCCTTTGATCGGCGTCGTTTGAACGTCTTCGTCAGATGCTATACCAATCTTCGTCAGATGTTATACCAATCTTTTTTTGGCTTAAAACTAGTCGAGTATCTCGTCAAATTATTACGTGAGTAAGCCGAAAACATAATAATTAATGATATACCTACCAAACATTGGATTTTTTATCTAATTGTAGTGGAACCTCCATTAAGGCTAAATATGTTCGACAAGTGTAAGCGAGTGCCCGAACGCGATTAAATGATCATATGTTTTTAAATAAAAACATCAATCTGGTACATGTAGTGCAGTCATTGAATGGCTCAAGTAACGCCATCTAGCAATCTAGAGATAGACCTTGCGGGTTTCCAAAAGCTGTCGATCAAAAGATGGCGTAAACAATAACTTCTACTACTCTACTCTACTACTACTCTCTTAACTCAAAAATTACAATACACTACAATTTATTTACAAATCTACAATTCCTTAATTGGCGATGGCAGGTGCTGCAGGTTTTTTTGAAAGCTCAGGTGTTGTAACTGCAGGCTCTGTTGTCTCCGTACTCTCCACAACTTCTGGCTCAGGTTCAGGCATAACCCTGGTCAATTTAGAAGGTTCTTTAGGTGGAGTCCAGTCAGGGATGATCTTATCATGGATGCGCCATGTTCCGTACAGATTAGACAGATGTTTCTCAAACACTATGTACTCTAAGACGTCTTTCGATAAGATCTGCCATGAAGAAGTCGACCGAATCTGTCATATACTGCTAGCTGTTGGCGTGTGTGGAAGCGGACCGTTACCTGAAACGATAGGTGAAAAATATAATACTACTCTTTGATGAACAGTTCAAATAATAAGTAAAAAGAAGAGATTATATTAATTCTAAAATATTTTTTAGACCCAAAAATTATTCTCTTTGCTAATGACATCAGTGCACCGCGCATGCACTACTCTTGGAGGCTCTAGTGACTCAATGAACTTCCACTTGATAGTTTTCGAATGAGAATTATGCCTGAATTCAGGATATGCCTTTTCCGTAACATAAATTCTCAGAGCCTTCTTATCATTGTTTGCAAGACTTTCATGAGCCTTGATATAGGTGTCTTGAGCTTGTAAAACAAATTATTTTTGATCAAATTCTTATTTTTGGTAAAAACGCCAGGAAGGGTGATATTGAAATAAATGATTTAGATTTTATACAACTTACTTAATGATCTATTAAACTGAAATTATAAATTATTATTCTTAAATAATAAAACTTAATGAATAATAAAAAATATCAATTTGTCTTTGGGGAGGCTTATGTTCAGCAGTGGACGACATCAGGCTGATGATGAAGTTGATGATGATCTTTTATGTTTGGAATATTTTGATTTTATTTGTTTTTATTGTAAGACATCGATTATAACAATTTTGTTTCCTCTTGTGCAGGGTACGTCGAGTACAGTGGACGTGTCGTCCCCGTCGTCGGTGCTGGGCGGTCGCGAGGCGGTGGTGGAGGCGCGCTGCGTGGTGCGGCTGGAGGTGGGCGGGCGCGGCGTGGCCGTGCGCTGCGGCCCGGCGCGCCGCCTGCGCCACGTGCTGCGCCCCGTCCTCGCCAAGTACGCCGCTCCACACGCCGCGCGCGCCGTGCTCAGGGCCGGCCGTCTGCTGCATCCTGACACACTCATGCAGGTACACTACTTTATATACTGCACTATGCGTTCACACATATGTTTCTATTGTCTCCGAATTACCACGATTTAAAGTTTAACTGATCGACTGAACTGTTCTGCTCAGTACAAAGTATCGCTTAAAACTTGTCTCACAATTACGAGCACCGGTGTACCTCGAAATTAATCGAGCACTCCCGATATAACATCTTTTAGTTTGAATAAATATTATGAAACTAATTACACGATACTTATTTCAACTAATCATTTTCGTATTACATCTCCATAGAAAAATAACCTTTACGGACTAAAAACTAACTATAAAATTTTCTTCGTCAGGAACTAGACGGCGCTCGTCTCCAAATAGTGGAAGTATCAGAAAATGGCGAATACCGCGCTGCTACAGCGGAGTACGAGGTGGACGATGACGCAGACTCACTCAGCGACCTCGCCGTCAGGTTGCAGGACGACGCCATGAAGCAGCCCGATGAAGTGGTCAGTATTCAAATATAATCTATAGATATATAACCAAGGTGTCAAGGCTACTTATAATTTTAGAATTACCAAGAAACACCAGTAAAATTGTTATCAGTGGAATAGTGTATTAACAATATGTTTGTTGTCCTGACAGAGCGTGGGCACGGCGAGTGGCAGTAGTCGCGGCAGTAGCGGCGCCGGCCGCGTCCGCGCCGCCCTACGACCCGGGCCTCCGCTACACCATCACCCACCCGGTTCGTACTCCTTGATTACATTTTTCGTTTATGCACACATACAACTTTAATTAAGAATTAATTGCAATCATCTATCTATAAGCCTAGAACATAATTTATCAGTTTCAATAACCACGTTTCTTCTTTCCACAGATTTCCTAGAGAATCTCAGAGAGACGCAACGGCAGAGGCTACAGAGCAAGGGCTCGGTGTCTCCGCCGTCGTCCCCCGGTCCGCAGCCCCGCAGCCCAAAGCCGGCGCAGCGCGCGCCCCCTACCGTCGTCTGAGCGCACCACTCGCCGGTCTCGGCGCATGATCACCTCACACGACTTCTCCAAGTCACACTTGGGAAGCAAAGTAGCCGACCCACAGCTCACAAGACGGACGGAATCCGTCGAGAACTCAGTTTCTGACACAACTGAGACTAATGAGCCATGTCGGCCCCTGTCTGTTGACTCCATGTCAAGGTTGTCGAAATACTTCGAACACAACAAACATTCTGACATTACATATCTGTACTTTAGTAAGAAGCTTTACACGGATGAGAATGTTGAAGGAATTGTGTAAATATAGCCGTTAACGTGCTAATTAAAATAAATCTCATTATTTATTTAATGTACAAAGATTTTGCCATCGGATGATCCTAAAGACTTATAGCGTAGCAGCGATTTACATTGGAATATATTATAAGTTTATCTGAACAACTACTTATGAATGGCAATAAAGACATGATACTTAAAAAGCCGTAAAACCAAAGTATTTTTATATTGCAATGTAAACGCCTATACGAGCAAAGAACACGTAAATGTAGCTATAATAATGTACATTAACATTATTTGTATCTAAATACAATATTTGTATTAATTTTGGTGCCTTCCATAGTTATAAGACTGCACTAACCCATACGAATGAATGGGAACATTGTAAAATTACTCGTTCACACGCAAATGGATGAAACAGGAGAATTTCATTTTATATTAGTTCATTGTAAATATGTATATGTAAAGGATTTGTTAAAAAATATATTTTGTATAGATATTCATGGATTTGTATGAAAACAACTTTAGTCTGAATGAAATGAAACAATTTTTTAAATTCATGGTTAGTTCAAAATACGACTCTAAAATCTCGTATCTAGAATCTTGTAAAATATTTGTAATTTTGTAAAAACTTGAACCCAGTGATTTGTAAGAGAAATGGCAGTTATTTTATTTTTCATAAATAACATTTTATGTAGACTATAATCGGCAGTAGTTACTAAGACAAAAAATATTTAGCGCAAAACATTCTTTGAGTTGAATGTCCAAAGTTAGAGAATTTATATAATATTCAGCTAAAGTCAGCTAAATATTTCGTGTCTTGGTAACTTTGTTGGGTTCACAATCAGTTTCATATTCCTACTAACAGAAACGTTTGCCCAATAGTCAAGTAAATAATTTATTTAGATGAACGCGAATGTTTCGCAGAGAATAGATTTTATTGAAATAAAATTATTATTGATAAGATTTGTTGGTTTTATTTTAAGCCTTCGTTTGATTTGATCTGTTGTTCGTCTTTATCCGTTCTGCTGCTTCAAGAAATATTTTAGAAAAATAAAAAAGAGGTAAGAGCTAGATGTGTTCTTAAAGAGTTTAATAATAAAAGAATATGGTAAGTATGGTGGATAATAAGTCTATGTGTTAATCCAGAGTATTACCTATGTACTAGTACATAACAAATTTCAACTAAATCGGTCCATCCGTTTTTTCGTAAAAGCATAACATCTGTACATTGTAACAAACTTTCACGTTTATAACAATAAGTAGGATAATCGTAGGATAGTTGGATATTCGTAAGATAGCAGGATATTCATGGGGTAGTAGGATATTCGTAGGGTAGTATGGTATTCGTAGGATAGTAAGATATTAGTAGGATAGTAGGATATTCATGGGATAGTAGGATATTCGTAAGATAGTAGGATATTCATGGTATAGTAGAATATTCATGGTATAGTAGGATATTCGTAGGATAATAGGAAATTCGAAAGATAGTAGATATTCATGGGTTAGTAGGATATTCGTAGGATAGTAGGATAATCGTAGGATTGTTGGATAATCGTAGGATAGTTGGATATTCGTAAGGTAGCAGGATATCCATGGGATAGTAGGATAATCGTAGGGTAGTAGAGTATTCGTAGGATAGTAAGATATTAGTAGGATAGTAGGATAAGTACATTAGCTGAGTTCAGTAATTCAAACTCATTGTATAACCAGTTGCACCGAATTGTTAGAGACACTGTCTTATCGATGTCAAGCTGGAGAGGTCACGCCTACTGAAGGACCTTATTCATTAGATATACTTACTTCTGCCGATATGTTTAAGGACATCTGTAATCTCAATAGATGAATTTCAAAATCCATGGGACGAGACCCATGCGTGCGTACCTATAATACGGCACGAGTCAAGGACGCCATCGAACGAAACCAAGGCTTAAAAGAATTCGCAAAAAAATATCATTATCATATCAGTATTATATACATTTTTTGTAATATAACACAGATCATCATGTCGTTCATATCGGAAATTCTGACAGTTCGAGAGGTTCTACGGACAGTTGTACACCTTAACTTGGCAACCCATTGTCGGTACAACTCGGGATCCGAGATCTAAACTACTAATAAATAAACGCAATGCTCAGCTACCTCAATACTGTTTTCCGACAGGATAACACGAAACTCATGTCTGCTGTCCATGTTGGTAATCCTTCATTCTGTTGCTCGGGGTCTCTTTGCAGGACAAAATACAAAATTTACCAAACAACCAAAGTTACCGACATATTTAGCTCGTAAAATCTGCAGGATGAAGTGGTCCATTGCCGTTGAAAGCGATGTCACTCAATGGACAGCGATGGTCGATGGGCCCGGAAAGACCTTGAGTGGTCCATCGCCAATGGATGCAAGTGGCGAATTGTCGTTAGACATGGAGAGCTAAGGGCGAAAGCCTTTGATCGGCGTCGTTTGAACGTCTTCGTCAGATGCTATACCAATCTTCGTCAGATGTTATACCAATCTTTTTTTGGCTTAAAACTAGTCGAGTATCTCGTCAAATTATTACGTGAGTAAGCCGAAAACATAATAATTAATGATATACCTACCAAACATTGGATTTTTTATCTAATTGTAGTGGAACCTCCATTAAGGCTAAATATGTTCGACAAGTGTAAGCGAGTGCCCGAACGCGATTAAATGATCATATGTTTTTAAATAAAAACATCAATCTGGTACATGTAGTGCAGTCATTGAATGGCTCAAGTAACGCCATCTAGCAATCTAGAGATAGACCTTGCGGGTTTCCAAAAGCTGTCGATCAAAAGATGGCGTAAACAATAACTTCTACTACTCTACTCTACTACTACTCTATTAACTCAAAAATTACAATACACTACAATTTATTTACAAATCTACAATTCCTTAATTGGCGATGGCAGGTGCTGCAGGTTTTTTTGAAAGCTCAGGTGTTGTAACTGCAGGCTCTGTTGTCTCCGTACTCTCCACAACTTCTGGCTCAGGTTCAGGCATAACCCTGGTTAATTTAGAAGGTTCTTTAGGTGGAGTCCAGTCAGGGATGATCTTATCATGGATGCGCCATGTTCCGTACAGATTAGACAGATGTTTCTCAAACACTATGTACTCTAAGACGTCTTTCGATAAGATCTGCCATGAAGAAGTCGACCGAATCTGTCATATACTGCTAGCTGTTGGCGTGTGTGGAAGCGGACCGTTACCTGAAACGATAGGTGAAAAATATAATACTACTCTTTGATGAACAGTTCAAATAATAAGTAAAAAGAAGAGATTATATTAATTCTAAAATATTTTTTAGACCCAAAAATTATTCTCTTTGCTAATGACATCAGTGCACCGCGCATGCACTACTCTTGGAGGCTCTAGTGACTCAATGAACTTCCACTTGATAGTTTTCGAATGAGAATTATGCCTGAATTCAGGATATGCCTTTTCCGTAACATAAATTCTCAGAGCCTTCTTATCATTGTTTGCAAGACTTTCATGAGCCTTGATATAGGTGTCTTGAGCTTGTAAAACAAATTCTTTTTGATCAAATTCTAATTTTTGGTAAAAACGCCAGGAAGGGTGATATTGAAATAAATGATTTAGATTTTATACAACTTACTTAATGATCTATTAAACTGAAATTATAAATTATTATTCTTAAATAATAAAACTTAATGAATAATAAAAAATATCAATTTGTCTTTGGGGAGGCTTATGTTCAGCAGTGGACGACATCAGGCTGATGATGAAGTTGATGATGATCTTTTATGTTTGGAATATTTTGATTTTATTTGTTTTTATTGTAAGACATCGATTATAACAATTTTGTTTCCTCTTGTGCAGGGTACGTCGAGTACAGTGGACGTGTCGTCCCCGTCGTCGGTGCTGGGCGGTCGCGAGGCGGTGGTGGAGGCGCGCTGCGTGGTGCGGCTGGAGGTGGGCGGGCGCGGCGTGGCCGTGCGCTGCGGCCCGGCGCGCCGCCTGCGCCACGTGCTGCGCCCCGTCCTCCCCAAGTACGCCGCTCCACACGCCGCGCGCGCCGTGCTCAGGGCCGGCCGTCTGCTGCATCCTGACACACTCATGCAGGTACACTACTTTATATACTGCACTATGCGTTCACACATATGTTTCTATTGTCTCCGAATTACCACGATTTAAAGTTTAACTGATCGACTGAACTGTTCTGCTCAGTACAAAGTATCGCTTAAAACTTGTCTCACAATTACGAGCACCGGTGTACCTCGAAATTAATCGAGCACTCTCGATATAACATCTTTTAGTTTGAATAAATATTATGAAACTAATTACACGATACTTATTTCAACTAATCATTTTCGTATTACTTCTCCATAGAAAAATAACCTTTACGGACTAAAAACTAACTATAAAATTTTCTTCGTCAGGAACTAGACGGCGCTCGTCTCCAAATAGTGGAAGTATCAGAGAATGGCGAATACCGCGCTGCTACAGCGGAGTACGAGGTGGACGATGACGCAGACTCACTCAGCGACCTCGCCGTCAGGTTGCAGGACGACGCCATGAAGCAGCCCGATGAAGTGGTCAGTATTCAAATATAATCTACAGATATATAACCAAGATGTCACATATATAAATCCAGTTTTAATGAGCAAAGTATCAAACATGACCTGCAAGGCAGTAGTAAAATTGACGAGAACATGTAAACCCGATAATATTAGTGCTTCCCCAAAGGTGAGGTATTAAAAAAATTAAAAAGGCTACTTATAATTTTAGAATTACCAAGAAACACCAGTAAAAATGTTAATCAATGGAATAGTGTATTAACAATATGTTTGTTGTCCTGACAGAGCGTGGGCACGGCGAGTGGCAGTAGTCGCGGCAGTAGCGGCGCCGGCCGCGTCCGCGCCGCCCTGCGACCCGGGCCTCCGCTACACCATCACCCACCCGGTTCGTACTCCTTGATTACATTTTTCGTTTATGCACACATACAACTTCAATTAAGAATTAATTGCAATCATCTATCTATAAGCCTAGAACATAATTTATCAGTTTCAATAACCACGTTTCTTCTTTCCACAGATTTCCTAGAGAATCTCAGAGAGACGCAACGGCAGAGGCTACAGAGCAAGGGCTCGGTGTCTCCGCCGTCGTCCCCCGGTCCGCAGCCCCGCAGCCCCCCACCGCTCCCCCCCAAGCCGGCGCAGCGCGCGCCCCCTACCGTCGTCTGAGCGCACCACTCGCCGGTCTCGGCGCATGATCACCTCACACGACTTCTCCAAGTCACACTTGGGAACCGAAGTACCCGACCCACAGCTCACAAGACGGACGGAATCCGTCGAGAACTCAGTTTCTGACACAACTGAGACTAATGAGCCATGTCGGCCCCTGTCTGTTGACTCCATGTCAAGGTTGTCGAAATACTTCGAACACAACAAACATTCTGACCTTACATATCTGTACTTTAGTAAGAAGCTTTACACGGATGAGAATGTTGAAGGAATTGTGTAAATATAGCAGTTAACGAGCTAATTAAAATAAATCTCATTATTTATTTAATGTACAAAGATTTTGCCATCGGATGATCCTAAAGACTTATAGCGTAGCAGCGATATACATTGTAATATAAGTTTATCTGAACAACTACTTATGAATGGCAAGAAAGACATGATACTTAAAAAGCCGTAAAACCAAAGTATTTTTATATTGCAATGTAAACGTCTATACGAGCAAAGAACACGTAAATGTAGCTATAATAATGTACATTAACATTATTTGTATCTAAATACAATATTTGTATTAATTTTGGTGCCTTCCATAGTTATAAGACTGCACTAACCCCCACGAATGAATGGGAACATTGTAAAATTACTCGTTCACACGCAAATGGATGAAACAGGAGAATTTCATTTTATATTAGTTCATTGTAAATATGTATTTGTAAAGGATTTGTTAAAAAATATATTTTATATAGATATTCATGGATTTGTATTAAAACAACTTTAGTCTGAATATAATGAAACAAATTTTAAATTCATGGTTAGTTCAAAATACGACTCTAAAATCTCGTATCTAGAATCTTGTAAAATATTTGTAATTTTGTAAAAACTTGAACCCACTGATTTGTAAGAGAAATGGCAGTTATTTTCTTGTTCATAAATAATATTTTATGTAGACTATAATCGGCAGTAGTTACTAAGACAAAAAATATTTAGCGCAAAACATTCTTTGAGTTGAATGTCCAAAGTTAGAGAATTTATATAATATTCAGCTAAAGTCAGCTAAATATTTCGTGTCTTGGTAACTTTGTTGGGTTCACAATCAGTTTCATATTCCTACTAACAGAAACGTTTGCCCAATAGTCAAGTAAATAATTTATTTAGATCAATGCGAATGTTTCGCAGAGAATAGATTTTATTGAAATAAAATTATTATTGATAAGATTTGTTGGTTTTATTTTAAGCCTTCGTTTGATCTGTTGGCGTCTTTATCCGTTCTGCTGCTTCAAGAAATATTTTAGAAAAATAAAAAAGAGGTAAAAGCTAGATGTGTTCTTAAAGAGTTTAATAATAAAAGAATATGGTAAGTTAGGTGGATAATAAGTCTATGTGTTAATCCAGCCAATCCAGGGTATTACCTATGTACTAGTGCATAACAAATTTCAAATCGGTCCATCCGTTTTTTCGTAAAAGCATAACATCTGTACATTGTAACAAACTTTCACATTTATTACAATAAGTAGGAATTTCGTAGGATAGTGGGATAATCGTAGGATAGTAGGATATTCATGGGATAGTAGGATATACGTAGGATAGTACGATATTAGTAGGATATTCATGGGATAGTAGGATATTCGTAGGATAGTAGGATATTCGTAGGATAGTAGGATATTCGTAAGATGGTAGGATATTCATGGTATAGTAGGATGTTCGTACGATAGTAGGCTATTCGTAACATAGTAGGATATTCATGGTATAGTAGGATATTCGTAGGATAGTAGGATATTCGTAGGATAGTAGGATATTCGTAAGATAGTAGGATTTTCATATTATTCATGGTATAGTAGGATATTCGTAGGGTAATAGGATATTCGAAAGATAGTAGATATTCATAGGATAGTAGGATATTCGTAGGATAGTTGGATATAAGTAAGATAGCAGGATATCCATGGGATAGTAGGATAATCGTAGGGTAGTAGAGTATTCGTAGGATAGTAAGATATTAGTAGGATAAGTACATTAGCTGAGTTCAGTAATTCAAACTCATTGTATAACCAGTTGCACCGAATTGTTTGAGACACTGTCTTATCGATGTCAAGCTGGAGAGGTCACGCCTACTGAAGGACCTTATTCATTAGATATACTTACTTCTGCCGATATGTCTAAGTACATCTGCAATCTCAATAGATGCATTTCAAAATCCATGCGCCGAGACCTGCGTGCATATAAAATCGAACAAAACCAAGGCTTAAAAGAATTCGCAAAAAAAATATCATTATCATATCAGTATTATATACATTTTTTGTAATATAACACAGATCATCATGTCGTTCATATCGGAAATTCTGACAGTTCGAGAGGTTCTACGGACAGTTGTACACCTTAACTTGGCAACCCATTGTCGGTACAACTCGGGATCCGAGATCTAAACTACTAATAAATAGACGCAATGCTCAGCTACCTCAATACTGTTTTCCGACAGGATAACACGAAACTCATGTCTGCTGTCCATGTTGGTAACGACATCCTTCATCCTGTTGCTCGGGGTCTCTTTGCAGGACAAAATCCAAAATTTACCAAACAACCAAAGTTACCGACATATTTAGCTCGTAAAATCTGCAGGATTAAGTGGCTCATTGCCGTTGAAAGCGATGTCACTCAATGGACAGCGATGGTCGATGGGCCCGGAAAGACCTTGAGTGGTCCATCGCCAATGGATGCAAGTGGCGAATTGTCGTTAGACGTGGAGGGCTAAGGGCGAAAGCCTTTGATCGACGTCGTTTGAACGTCTTCGTCAAAAGCTGATAATGTTATACCAATTTTTTTTTATTATAACTTTCGTGATACATTCTATATTATTTATTATCTCTAGCATGGCTTAAAACTAGTCGAGTATCTCGTCAAATTATTACGTGAGTAAGCCGAAAACATAATAATTAATGATGTACCTACCAAACATTGGATTTTTTATCTAATTGTAGTGGAACCTCCATTAAGGCTAAATATGTTCGACAAGTGTAAGCGAGTGCGCGAACGCGATTAAATGATCTGTTCAAAATAAAAACATCAATCTGGTTCATGTAGTGCAGTCATTGAATGGCTCAAGTAACGCCATCTAGCAATCTAGAGATAGACCTCGCTGGTTTCCAAAAGCAGTCGATCAATAGATGGCGTGAACAATAACTTCCTATATATATATTTCTAATACTGTGAATCACGGAATAAAAATTACAAATTCGGAAATCTTCCGAATTGTTAATTCTGTTCTGTGGTATAAGGTTTATGGCAGCACAATTTACAAATACGGAAAGAATACTTTCTGCGGACCAATCACAAGTGGATAAAAATAAAATATAATAAATAAAAACTCAAAAATTACAATACACTACAATTTATTTACAAATCTACAATTCATTAATTGGCGATGGCAGGTGCTGCAGGTTTTTCTGAAAGCTCAGGTGTTGTAACTGCAGACTCTGTTGTCTCCGTACTCTCCACAACTTCTGGCTCAGGTTCAGGCATAACCCTGGTCAATTTGGAAGGTTCTTTAGGTGGAGTCCAGTCAGGGATGATCTTATCATGGATGCGCCATGTTCCGTACAGATTAGACAGATGTTTTTCAAACACTATGTACTCTAAGACGTCTTTCGATAAGATCTCACTGCCATGAAGAAGTCGACCGAATCTGTCATATACTGCTAGCTGTTGGCGTGTGTGGAAGCGGACCGTTACCTGAAACGATAGGTGAAAAATATAATACTACTCTTTGATGAACAGTTCAAATAATTAGTAACAAGAACAGATTATATTAATTCTAAAATAATTTTTAAACCCAAAAATTGAAAAGGAACAAACCTGTCCAAATATATTCTCCTTGCTAATGACATCAGTGCACCGCGCATGCACAACTCTTGGAGGCTCTAGCGACTCAATAAACTTCCACCTGATAGTTTTCGAATGAGAATTATGCCTGAATTCCGGATATGCCTTTTCCGTAACATAAATTCTCAGAGCCTTTTTATCATTGTTTGCAAGACTTTCATGGGCCTTGATATAGGTGTCTTGAGCTTGTAAAACAAATTCTTTTTGATCAAATTCTTCTTCAAACGACTTGATTTTCCGTATTGCCATCATAGACTTTGATTTCTTTTCGAGAAGTTCCACAGCTTGCTTGGCACGTGTTGCTGAGACTATAGAGGCTTTGCCATCACCCTCTGGTGGGACATAGGGCTCAAAAACACCACCTGAAATTATACAAATATTTTTAAAACACTAAGAGTTTTCAAACCTAAAAATGAAAGCATATTTTACAACTTCAATAGAGCTATTTATAAAATGTCCAAAAATCATTCTCATGATAAATTTCACAAAAATAAACAAACCTGTGGCAGAAAGGTAAAAGGGTCTCTCCATCCATGGTCTTGGTGGCAAAATGCCGCGCTCTTTCATCTTCTGTCTGATCTTGCTCGAACTGAGTGAACCAAAGTCCTCATTTGGATCTGGTAATTCGACTTTTAAATATTTCTGAGCTCTTTGCTTCTTAAACTTTGGTATGTAATGTTTAGTTGTAGTATTACGAGACGGCTGTGTAAAAATTACTGGGACTATGCGCAAAGCACCCATCTGAAATTGCAATATTGTTTCTATCATTCAATCTATGATTTAGTTTCTAAGTATCAGGTTATGGCTTTTACACACGTTTCTTTGAAATTATGTGCATTGAAAACCTAGTGTTTATTATTATTTTATTTGAACATCAGATTCTACAAGAGAATTAAGTAAAATTGCAGACAAACATAAAAAAATATTTAAATACCTTTGAAATTAAGGAGTTCGCCATCGTTGTTTAGATAATAATATTATTTAGTGTATGAAGTACAATTCGGTTTCCTAGGTATAGAATATTATTGCACCATTACATTTCTCTCTCTTTAAAATATTTCAAAGAGTATGTGAAATATTTCTGAAAAACCAATTTATTTTCTAACCTAAAACAACAACACACTGACAGGTGAAACGAAACGTATTATAGATAAGTTAGATAAAATTACCAGCAAGGAAATAAATTTTGATTTGAAATCTAAACCAACAATTAGATTTATACATTTATAAGTTAGATAATCAAACATTTCAGTTTTAGAATATTTATCAATAAAATTTTATATTGACTATAATTCTGTATACGCAAATATCTGTGCTAACGCAGGTCATATGTTTAAAAGTAAAAAATGTCTATGGTGTTTTGTTTTTTCTGCCATTTTTAGTCAAATACTATCCATTCAAATTGTGTTTTTTAATAAAGTGATACAAAATTCATCAAATTTATTGTGTCGTCTTTTAAAATATTTTTATTTTTATTAAACTTTAGATTGTGTTGATATATGTCGATATTGTAAATTTTTATAGTTTTGTCTTTTGAAGTCTGTCTGTCTCTTCGGAGCGCAATACGAGCTTAATTCAGTTATTTTAGATAAATATACGTAAATCTCGGAAATAGTTCTAATCGTATTGTTTCAAAGGCATTAAAATAATACTTTAGAAAGGAAAACGCTCGAGCCGATTTGAATCGATCGTCGCGACACTACCGGAAATCCGGCGACTCCATAGTCCATTCACGTTGTCTCTAGCACAGGGGAATAGAGATCGTCGCAGCGTTTCTTTCTTTTCTGAACAGGCGCAGTCCTAGAGAACTCGCAAAAGGAGTAAAAGGCTCCTACATAACCTGTCACTATGTAAGTATAAGTGCACATACTACTTCGTAGCGTGTCGTTGCTTTGTTCGATATTGAGAATCGCGAAACTAACTCCTTGGAGTCCTTGCTGAGTCATAGCCAGGTGATCTCGTTATCGGGTTGTGGAATATTCCTTCTGGAAATTGATTCAGCAGTCCCGATTTACTAGAAGTAAGTGAAGCGTATTTGGGATTTTGGACGCCATAACAGTAGGACGAAGGGTCGAACCTGGGGTTGCGTGGCGCACCGCGGCCGATGACCTTATAACGGAATGGACCTTTATTAATTGCCACGTGTTGTTCTTTTCAGCAATATATTGTATGAGTCAGAAGGTAGAAAAACCAGTATTATCGGGTCAACGGATCAAGACCAGAAAAAGAGGTAAGTGATTTTTAACTTAAAATTTGGCCACATGCCCAGATTTCCTTGTTTGCATCCCGGGTCAAGTTATTCTAAGTTAGCTAATCTTGTATCGAACGCACATGTATTGTAGGGAAGACAAGCTTGGCGAACCTACAAACATCGAGTTGTTAATTTAATAACGTTCGCCTTGGCCGTGACATTGTCCTAGGCATTAATTTCTTAGCCATGTTTCTTTGTAGAATGTTGGTAATCATTGAGGAAGTAGGCCACGCTGTAGTTTCTCAAACAATTACAATAAAATGTATTTAGCACTTGAAATTTTCAAGTATCTGCCCACTTAATATTTTTCCAGTCTTACAATAGATATTTTATCGAAAACTGTAGCACATTCTGTCATTCAATTGTCTTGTCTTAGAAACCTATTCTCATGTATGCAGGCAACTATTTACCATTGTAAAATACCTACGAATATTCATGTTTGCCTACTAATTTCATCATAATAAATAACAATGAATGCACATTAATTTTCTTATCATTTATTCCAAAATAGTTTTTCTTGAGTATCATTTTATTTACATAAAATACAGGTGTTTTGTGATTTTGATCAATAAAATAGGATTGATGAATTGTACAGCTCATATTCTGTCCCAAATACTAAGTAATTCCTGAATTATCAACAAAAACAATTCCACCTTTAAATAGATTTTGTTTTCATGTAACAAAAGAATTAGGTTATGTGTGCATGCAAGGCTTTGTCATAGACAAGCCAATTCTGTTTAATAGACACATCCTTCTACTTTTATTCTGTCATTGACAATTGATGTATTCAGCCTACAGCAGTGGCCAAGTTGAGATATTTTGACCTCAATCACAACAGAATTGACTTTCTCTTGACAATTTGGAACTGTAAATGTTGTGATGAAACACTTTCCACACAGAAATACCTATATTCTATACTTTTTTTTTATAATTAACATTATAATTCCAGTAATGAAGTATTTCTTGATTAAAATATATTTTTTAACTTTCAATGCAGAAATCTATGGCACTTAATTTATTCTCAATCTGAACTTAAGTTTTATTGAATCATGTATTTCTCTACAACTGTTTATTTCCTCTGTTATAAATTAATCCATGATATCTTTTGTGTTGCCATACTTATATTATGCCAACTCAGGTTTTTAGTATAATTAAACATCAGTTCATTGAACTTGAAAGTTCAATGCCTCTTGACAAAACACCGGGTCGTGCTATGATTATGTACCAGTGATTGATTTAGCATTTGTACAATATAACCTCCAATAGTAATTACTTAAAATACCTTCATATTTACATTATTTATCAAGATATATGTATACAAGACTAAAACATTAACTTGACTACTCCAGATATTAAGTCTACTTCTATACTAATATTATAAAGAGCCTCTGTAACATTTGTAAGATTGTGTCTTGGGAACTGCTGGTCGGATTTCCAGCTACTGTCCCTGTCCCTGAGTGCTATAGGCTAGAACATCACCTTACATCATGATCTGAGCAGCAGGCTCATATTTTATAAAATCGTTTTGATGTCGCGAGAATAAAAACATAACTTTACCAGTAAAAAATAACAATAAAAACGTAGGTATTATTTACAATGAGACGAGTTTTCCTCTATAATTTACAAAGTCATTTTAATTACGACAATATCTCGGAGTGTGACGCAAATAAACTAAATTGCTGGACACTCGCAATTGTTAAAAGTGGCCCTTGTCTTCACAAATATAGCTTGGACTTTGCACTGGACAACTGCACGATTGTTCCGTTCTAAAACATAACCAAGTGTGCCTATTTATTTTGTAAACTAGCTCTTTGACGCTGTTTTACCCGCGTTCCGAAGTAGATGGTAATAAAATCCTTTATTAAATACTTCTTGCTTCCGTCCGCGGCTTTGCCTAAAGATGTAATCCAGCATCCATCCACCTATCCACATACGAAATTTCAACCAAATCGGTGTAGTCGGTTTTGCGTAAAAGATGACGTAAATATGTATTTGCGTTTTTTACATTCCAACAAACTTATTTCACATCTATTATATTAGTAAGATAGTAGGATTATTACTTGTATTTGTCAAATTGTAAACTACCTATGTGGTTTCTTTCCCTATTTGTGGTACCTCAATTGGCAGGCTGCCTGCCTGCCTGCCTATTCTTTTTATCATTCTCCCATCTACAAGAACACTGTCTCATTTTCATGGTTCATTCGTCATTTGGCCTCGTTTAATCTGATTTGCTTTATTCCTAAATGTCCTTAAAATTGTCTGATCTCTCGTATGTGCACCGAGTAATTTGGTTATCTCATAGAAGTTTAGAAGTCCTTAAACATGTCTGGTTTAAAACACCCTTATCCACACAAATCAGGTTTTTTAAATATAATTTTGTGTCATTGCATTTTGGTTATTATTGTCAATATCAGCTGAAAAAGCTAACGATATTTTTTAAATTTGTTTACACACAACTTTTCATTTTCGCCTTATCCTCTTCATACATCTTTTCATATTAAATTCAAAACGTACAAACACTCGTAATAGATAAAAAAATAGCAAATTTAAAACCGCATAATGATACCATCCATTAAAAATCACGCTTACGCTAAACCTTAATAGAATTCGCAAAATCATGAAAAAGTTTCCAATATATGGTTGCTACCTTGCCTACTGTAAATAAAAGTGATCTATCCAATTAGTCAAGGGACCGAGCCAGTCCAAATGAGGTCAACCTTCCTTCGTTGCATAAATTATGCAAACTATTGCAGGAATTAGCCGCTCTGCACCTACCTAACTTGATATTTCGTTATCTTGCTAACATTTTGTACAGTTTGTGTGCTTATAGTATGATAAAATATCTTTCTACCTTCACGCATTGTGTGCTTCGACCTTTAAAGATGGCCGAACATATCCTAAATGTCGTATTGAACGTCGTGTCCCGTGTTTTTATCGAAGTCCATATTTGCAGCTTTATTCTCTTTTAACTACCACATTTTAAACTTGAAATAAGGTTGGGGCGTAGCAACACAATTTTAATATGATTTATTTACAAATTACAAAACCTTTGAACTTGCTTAAAGCCTTGTCTAAAATGTGAACAATAAAATATTTAGCTAAATTATGTAGGTTACTCCTTATTTAAGGGGATATAACCCTAATCACGTTTTCACAGAAGTCTCTGGTACTGCTCAAATGTTCTAGTTAGTTCGAATACATGTTACGTAACAAGTTTGCTCCCATTTATCCCGAATTCCCGAAAAGGGATGTAGGACCGAGAACATTCGCTCTGTAACTGACGTCAATTGTTGCATTGGACACAAATATCACTGCGACCCATCTTTAGATGGATGGCATTGATTTTATCTCTTATAATATTTACTAAAATATGTAAACGAAACAACTTTGGCCCAAAAACAGATCTTAAATGTTATACACAAAGATCCTGGCCCGCCAGGTGGTAAAGCGATGAACCTCATTTTTTAAATTTTTGTGATCAACCAATTCTATACTCCTCATGTTCAAAGTCTACAGGCGTTAAATTCTCTATGGAGTGTATCATCGAACTTGTGGTCTATAAAGGCATTTTTATGTAGTTAAGTACAGTGGTAAACAGAAAAACTAGTTCCAGTACATAGTAATTTTATTTTGAATAAATAGTATCGACGTCATCAGTCCATTCTATATTCGCCTACAATTTTCCTGTTGACATCCACCACCGATGTTTTCCTGTAGCTTACAATGCAATTACAATAAAATTGTGTACAAAATAAGCATAGATGAACCAATCTTAAAGCGCGAATCTTGCGAATAAGTCAATTCAAAGTAGGTAGCTTATTTCCACACAGCAAATATCTTCCTTTGTACGGAATCTTGGAATTTT